CCCTACGTGCCGCAAATCGGCTAAAGACACATAGGAAAGAATCGGTGTCTAGGGTATTAGATATTTCTAGATGAACCGCTCTTGAGCTGAAGCAAGTTAACAAGCAGCCGTATCTCTTTTCCACGGTCCGTCCACGTTTCACAAATAGTGGTCCAAAATAATCGACACCTGCCACAGTAAATGGATTACAGTGGTACATGAAACGATCCTCTGGTAGGGGTGCCATAGCCTGTTGGCAAGGTTGAGAGAACCACTTACGACACTTATGGCAATTATTGAGAACTGACTTGATGGTTTTCACTGCTTTAATGATCCAATATCTTTCACGGATTGTCGAAATCAGAAAGTTTACTCCCATATGTCCATTCGTTTCATGATAATGTCTAATAATTAAACGGGTAATAAAATGATTATGCGGTAGTATAATCGGATGCCTTACTTCAAAGGGTAGACCTGATTGTTGTAAGCGCCCACCAACTCTTATTACTCCGTTAACCGTAATTGGTTTCAAATGACGTAGTGTGCTTGAAGACTTGCATAATGCTACTTTAATTGTTCGGTCGGCCTCCTTCTCACTCGTCACCACCGAGACGTGATTCAACAACTTAAATACATCATTGAAACATTCCTTCTGCGCCAATCGGGTAATGTTGAGCTCAGCCGCTCTTAACTCTGCGACTTTGAGGTTTTGTTGGTTAGTTAATTTGTTCGTCAAGAGATGTTTATAACGTAGAAGCCAAGCTATCATTCGTTGTAATTTCATCCATGAATTCACAGCTTCGAATCGATTCAGAAACGTAGGTTGATTCTCGATTGGATATAAATCTTTATTTGACAACATATAGTTTACATATGAGCATGCATTAGTGTGCTGGTGTGGTTCCTGCTGGACATATCCCTGCAATAAAAATGTTGGACCACTAAGCCATCGTTTTAATTTTCGTTCTTGGTTTACCATGAACCCTCGGGAAAGCAGATCCGCTGGGTTGAGCTTAGAACTAACGTAACACCAGTCTGATGGCCTCGTCTGTTCATGTATATAAACCAACCTGTTAGCAAAAAACGTAGGGAATCTCTTGGAAGCATTGTTTATGCTATGGAGTACGACGAGAGAGTCAGTCCAATAAATCGTTTTGAGTATGGTAACAGTCATCTCTGTTCGTATAAACTTGGAGATTTTCACAGACATAACTGCTGCCGCCAATTCTAAACGTGGTATACTTGTAGCCCTAATAGGTGCTACTTTAGCTTTGGCGAATATCAGTCGACATTCTTTAATACTTTGCTGTTTCAGTAGTAGCAAATACCCTGCTGCTCCGTATCCATTATTAGAGGCATCGCTGAACATGTGTAGTTCGATTCCAGTACATTCGGCTGCATTTAATGACCGAGGCAAAGCTATCTTTTCTATATGAGTGAGACTTCCTTGCCATTTTCTCCAAACCTTTAATTCTTTTCCTACTATTAAATCATCCCAAGAAAATTTCATTTTGCATAGTTTCTGAAGGATAAGTTTCGCTGGGAGAATAACAGGTGCTAGGTAACCCATGGGATCGAATATGGAGGCGACAAATGACAATATATTACGACGTGTAACAGGTTCATTGACCATCCCGACATAAAAACGAAAGGTATCATCGCGTATATTCCAACGTATGCCCAAAGCTCGACAAGTGGTATGATCGCCGTGCCCGATGTGTACACATGGCCCGATACAATTAAACTCAGGTAGCAGCTGAGCTAATGTTGAATCATTAGTAATCCACTTAGTCAAGTTGAATCCACCTTTTGATAACATATCTTTCAACTGAGTTGCTACTCGATAACTTGTTTCAGTATTGGGAGTGCTAGTTAAACAATCGTCTACGTAGAAACTACGTGTAGCCATGTCGTAAACTTCCTTGTCATAGTTTTCCTTGTTATCTTTGATGGTACGATTAAGAGCAAACGTGGCACAACTAGGAGAAGAAGTTGCTCCAAATAGGTGGACTGTCATGCGAAGTTCTTCAGGGCTGTCAGTAAAATCTCCGTTCGTCCACCATAAAAAACGCAGAGCGTCTCTATCGCATTCGGGTACTTTAACCTGGTGGAACATTGCTTCGATGTCAGCCATTACTGCTACCCTTTCTTGTCTAGACCTAAGAATTACACCCAACAACGAATTAGTAAGATCCGGACCAGAGAGTAACCTGTCGTTTAATGATCGTCCTTCATGTTTAGCAGCGCAATCGAATACTATTCTAATTTTCTCTGGTTTCGCTGGATGGACGACAGGGTGATGCGGTAAGTACCATACGTTAGAGTTATCATTTAACGGTGGCGCAATTTCTGCATATCCCTTTATAAGGTAATCTTTCATTGCATCCGCATAGCGTCTAGCTAAGTCTTTAGAGGTACACAGTCGTTTGCGTAAAGCGTTCAGACGATGCAAACAATACAACTTATTATCCGTCCATTCTAACTGTGAATCTTTCCACGGGAGTGATATACAATAATGACAATCCTTTAACGTGATAGACTTCTCCATGATTCTGAGTGCGGTTCTATCTTCAATCGACAATTCTGTATCTTTAGACTGACCTTCCTCTAACAGGTCTTGCTGGTAGAATCTTTCAAGAGTACTTTCATTTTCTAAGAGACTGAGATGATTTGGCTTTATGTGACTTGTGACATGAGTACCAAGGGGTCCTATCAGTGTCCAACCAAATATGGTCTTTATCGCATACGGTTCCTCTGGTCTTCCTAACCTTTGTTCTAAATTTCTATGTGCTTCAGGAACATTGCAGCCAACCAGTAGTCCTATTCGCTTACTTTCACATCTCCTCAGGTCTATTCCCTGCAGATGTTGCCACAATCGAAGCTGCTTCTCCTCTGGTACCACTCGCTTAATCTTAGGCAAACTGGGAACAACATATGCTCCTTCTATCCGAATTGACTCATCATATTCGTGTGAGCTAACTTCTAGTTGTACCGCATTTGTCCGCATCTCTCTGTAACCATTCATAGTCTCTATCCGAACACGGGCATATTCCATAGGTAATTTTAAATCGTCGACAATATCCTTAAGTACCAATGTCGAGTCAGAGCCGCTATCCAAGAATGCTAAAGTTTCTACCGTACGGTCACGATTGCGGAGAATTACTGGGACCACCGCAAATTCCACCTTAGGTTCTTCATTTTCCGCTCGGGAATTTGAAACATAATTAGTAGCAACATTCGCATTAGTTAGTGAGACGTCCGTCGTAACATGCAACAATGTATGGTGCCTACCACCACAACCCTCTACGGTACATCCTCTGCGCAATCTACAATCCTTATCTATATGATTAGTCTTTAAACATAATCAGCATAACCTTTTCTCCTTGATTGGATCTAACCTTTTATCTACTTCAAGGGATAGCAACGTTGGACACTGGTCTAGAAAGTGGTTGTCTTTACATAAGATACACACTAAATACCTTTCTTGACGTGTACTTGAAGGCGAGTGCTGCAATGTAAACACGTTCTTCTTTGTACGCGGTGGTTGATAAGAAACAACGTTCCAAACTCGTTTATCTGACTTTAAATTCGCTGCGAGTTCTCCATATCTCGTACACATTATGTTGACACGTTCCTCGATAAACCTAGCTAAGTCCTCAAAGGTAGGCTCTGTGTCTTGTTTTATATAATCTACCGCTGTTTCCGCCCATTTAAACCAGAGATTCGAAGGCAACCTCGCCACAATAGCTTCTAGCGTTCTGCTTGCATTTAAATCGGACTGGTAACCTAACTGTTTTAACGTCACGACGCATGTTTGCATTTTTTGACTAAGGTCAGCCAATGCCGCCGATTCGTCGTTCTTAACTGGTGGCCCGTCAATTATTTCATCTATAAAGGCCCTAGCCACCATGTAATTCTGACCAAATTTCCTTTTTAAAATATCTGTAGCCATTATAAAGCCATCTGTGCCATTCATTATAGTACAATGTTCTATAGAGTCTCTCGCCTTACCTGTGCAAAATTGGATTAAGTAATTAAACGTATGGCGTCGTCGGTTGTCGCTTGTTTTACAACTTTCTGAAACTCTTTCGTGAATATCCAATACTCCTTTGGGTTTCCGTCAAATCTCCTTATTTCTGGCTTCGGCAGTTCGAAGTATCTTTCTACATAATTCGTTGTAGGACAGGTGTCGCGTTTCATGTCTCCTCTTTTGCTAGAATTTTGGGGACATCCTTCTCGTAACAGCATTTCCAACAAGATCCTTTTTTCCACTTCTTTTATTTTAGCTTTGCCAAATCTATTTCCATTTGCTTCTCATGTAGGCTCTTTTGGCAGCTTAAGACAGGACTTTGAAATTATTATCCTCTGAATTTAATATTATCGTCATTCGTGACATGTTGAAGTGATTACCTCCGTAATCCCTTTCCAATTGTTCTCCAAAGTTGCGTCCTCTCCATTGTGTAGATCCTGAAAAGCCTGGAACCTATTGGTGAGGGCTATCCTGAATTCGATGAGCTTTACAGTATCCCGAAGAAAGGCCGTGTTAAAATTGTGTGATGTTGTCTGTCCCACTTTCCAGTGCTTCTTTAGTTTCAGTTTCATTTTGGCGATTAGCAAATGGTGATCTGAGGCCATATCAGCCCCTCTCCTGGTCCTCACATCCTCCATAGTCCTTCTGAACGTTTTGTTGATACAGATATGATCAATCTGGTTTTGGGTAGTGTGATCCGGTGAAATCCATGTAGCTTTGTGTATGCGTTTGTGCGGGAATATTGTGCCACCGATGACCAGTTTGCTGAAGGCACATAGGTTTGCAAATCTCTCACCGACTACAGATCTAACTGTGTGAATAATTTTGAAGCATGAATATTTATGTTGACTATGAGTTCGTGCAGCATTCCAATTTCGTAATTTTGTTACTTTTATCCAGTTAAATTGATTGTTTAAAATTTTACTGTTTAGTTATTTGAAGACGTTATTCTTTTTAATATATATTATGATAATTGATATATTAAAGTACTGATTATTGTTGTATCCTTTTGGTGAAACCCATACGTAATTTACATGGTCGTTCTTTGGAGCCTTACCGAATTCATGGTGGAAAATCTGTGTCAATCTTACGCGGACCGGACCAAACTCGTATGGAGGTATTCACTCTAATCATGTGTAGTTTTCACGTTATTTTCGTTAAAAATTACATTGATAACTTTTTATACTTACCTGTTTTGTTATGACGTGTGTTTTTAAGGAAAATGAATATTATGCGATCGGAACATCCGGTAGAACAGGAAAAGGTTACGTTATCGATGGGGATGAAGTTATGTATTTTATGAAGAACTTTGATGTTGGATATGTTCCTCTTAGGTAATTTTAATAACGTTACGTTTCTAGTTTGCTAATGTTCCGTTAATGTGACTGTGTAATTATCTCAGTTTTGAAAAAGTCGGATACTGTTTGGCAATGTAAACTAGTACATGAAAAGTTGTGCATGTACTGTTAGCTTCGTTTCTGTCTCTCTGTAATTTTGAGTTCAGTGTTACCCCGCCCCACTATCCATAGCTTTGCAACTCATCCTGTCATTTTGTCCTTCCCATGATAACTTTGTCGGTTATAGTCTGCGAGCTACAACAACTACAGCTTAGTTGACTTGTGTTCAAACATAGTTCTGCAAAGTTCCAAGTTTGTGTATACATAGTTCAATATCTAATGGTGTGGAATTAGTCAGTACAATTGTAGAAAATTTGCTGGTTCTTATAGAACTGGTATGTTTGTTATTCTGTTTTGAAATGTACAATCTTTTCACTTTTTCCCTTATTTAACAGGTTAGCCAGATCGAAACAACTGTTAAATGTAATTGATCGTAATTTCAGTACACTTGCATTTTGCCGTCGTTGGTTAGATCGTCTAGGTGAGACAAAATATCTGATGGCCCTCAAAAATCTATGTGACGTGGGAATAGTAGATCCATATCCCACAATGTGCGATCAACGTGGTTGCTATACTGCTCAATGGGAGCATACCGTTCTACTAAGACCAACATGTAAAGAAGTTGTATCTCGTGGGGAGGATTACTGAGTAGCTTCGGAGTTTCCAATTCAGGGTTCACTATAGACGTTATAAATTTTGTTATTTCACTGAGATTTATTTTCATTCGAACGTGTATCCAGGTTAATGTTTGATACAGCATTTGACTATGTCTATCATCATTGTTTTGTATTTCCAGCACATACGAATTTTGTTCAGACTACGTATTCGCGCAGCAGTGTGGCAAGTGTATATATTTAACCAAATCACTACTTAACCTGTCATGTTGAAGTAGTCAATACAGTAGTAAGTCGAGATAAAATTCATACTGACCACTTGAATTAAAGTAAATTATGGGAATATAAGAATATAACACACAGATAAAGGAGTACAGCAAAAAGAAGGGAGAGTTGTGCAGTGTCAGGTGGATAGAAAGA